AGGAGAGGCCTTGAGTCTCCCATGTGTATAATCCTCAAGATGGGGTGGCCATAATGGATCAGAAGATATACTGATCAAAAAAAAAGCGGAATCTCCATCCCAGAATTGGAAATCCAGTTGCGTTAGGGGGAATAACTCCGGAGAGTGACCTCCGGGAAAGCTTTTATCTTCAAACTCAGCGATCATCCCTAATTGTTCCAGTGCTTCTACATGTATGTGGTCTCATCTATATGTTCGTCTCATTGGCGATCGTATGCGACGAGTTCTTTGTGCCTTCACTGGCCGTGCTCACCGAAAAACTTGCCATCTCCGACGATGTGGCTGGAGCAACGTTCATGGCTGCTGGAGGTATAGAAATTTTCCTCAATTGTACAAGGCCATACGACGTTTTGGGGCATACTCTGATCAAAAAGCGACCTGTTTACTCAGCTGTTTACTGTTTACTGCTTACAACTCTTATGTTGTCTTTCTTTTTTTATTCTTTTTCTTCCACTTTGTGAGCACTTGATTTTTTTAGTCTCTTGCCATCTTTGTGCCATATTATTGTGGGTTTCCTACCGTATTAATCCCAGGGATAATTCCCCCAAGACTGTGGTCGTCTACAGATTCCATGACTGAGAGATAATGGGATAGGCAAAAATAATTGTTGTCAGCACTAGCGTAATGTTTTTTAACGAATCTGCTCCCATCTGGGAGACTGGATTCTCAAAAATCGAGGTGACTTCATAGCAACCCAACAGGTTTCCTCATTCATGTTTCCAAAGCAGATGCTTTCATTTGACATGGCGCACTTTATTTCAGGGTTCTGTTTCAGGAAAAATTTACCTAGGAAAAGCTTCAACTAGCTCCCATACTAGCCACTGGCCATCGTCTTTCTCTTGCCGGATGACCCACACATCGTTGCTTTCTTCCCATCTCCGAACTTCCATTGATTGCGCCTCTTTGTGCCCTTATTGTTCTCTTCAGCCCTCTTACTGCAGTAGCCAATGCTTTGACAACGACGACGACCTCGAACAGCAAAACACCCATCCCGAGCCTCTGATTAGAGCTGAAGGAAGGGGGGGGGGACAGAGCCGCAGCAGATCATCCCTTTGAATGCTCTTTAGGCTAACGATAGATACGAGCTATCGACAAGGGCAGATTTGGGTGATTCCTGATTAGGGTTAACGTGGGGCCTCAACTTCTCCTATATGTTTACCAACTGAAAATTCTTATAAGCTTCGCTGTAATTCCTTCTAATTCAGGATCAGCACCCGAGTTCTTCACATCAGTTATTGGAGTGTTCATAGCGCAGAACAACGTGGGAATCGGTACCATCGTCGGTAAGTTTAGATGTTACTGGGGACCTTATATCGGAAAACATCTGGTCTGGTCAGACGGGTACTTTCCAGAAAAACGATGTGGGAAATGGGGTTCATGTGGGAGAATGCAGACTCTGAGTGGATTGATAGCCAATGATAAAAGNTGGATTGATAGCCAATGATAAAAGCATGAGTTATAAAAAGCGACTGCCCAGTGAGCCTCACAAGGTTGGCGATTTATGGACAAAACTTCAGTCTCGGACGGGACTCGAACCAGTGTCCGTGATTTCAGACCAGAGTGCTTTAGGGCCCATTCTGCGGTTAGTCAAGTGAAGCATTCTCTCCAATGAAAGAGGTGAAGCGATCTTTATGTGGGGAGGTTATATCGTTATCTGGGAGAACACTGGGAACTCTTTGGGAATATACTACCAGATTCCGATAAAACCTCCCTATGAGCAGAGCTGTTCATCTCTTTCATGGAAAAGACTCCTCCACTAGACTAACGACCGAGTGGGCCTCAAAGCGTGGCGATTCTATCGCTGCGCGGGACCAATTGTGAGGTGGTAAGGTGTGTGAGTGCGAGAGTGATATGGGGGAATTCCCCGGGGATTGTTTCCTGCTGATGCTCTCCTCCGGTTTTCACGTAGACGGAGCTCTCTTGTCATCCGACCGTGTGCCATGGAACTTTGTAATTTGAATCGCTCATGCATAATAATACGGGTTCCGGAACAAATTAACCGATATCCGTTGAGCGCCATAAGGGCTCCTGGGAAAGCTGTGACCCTCTTCTACGGAACTCCTTGAGTAGAGCACTTGAAATGATGTGTACTTTCTGTCTAAGAAACGGAGTAGGGGATATGCATGAAGAGGAAGCCAGTCGTCGGCAAACCTTTTTATCCATCTGAAAGTATAATCGGGTGAGTATTTGGCAGGAAGGCTAGTACAACTAACTGCTTTAGAGTAAAGTGAGCGTAAAGGGCAATTTTACACTCCGTTCCTGCTTAAAAGTCGGACGGACGTGCAGCCTCCTGAAAGTATTATTCTTCTTCCAGTGGAGGCTCACAGATGGGGATCTCCCCCTAAACAAAATACTCCTACGCACCCACGAAACCTCTGACCACATTACTGCCTTTTGATGTGGAAGTATTGAGGCAGAACAGCCCATCGGTGGCAACGAAGGCGAGAAAATTCGAAAAATCTACAAGTCACCTATTAGGATGACTAATAGAAGCCAATCTTCAGTATTGTATGGGGTCAAGACGACTCAAGGGGTGCACCGGCTTTTGGTCATTCTTGTGTTCTATCCAAGCGGTTTTTCGTCCCTGCCAAAGAGCCATATGGCATCCTAAGAGGCATCAAAGTCGTCCCAGTCGATAACTTTTATCGTGGTTTATGTTTTTGATTGAAGTTACCAGCCTCGTATTCATCCCCCACCCCGAACTCCAAATTTGAGTCGGTCTCATTTGGCTGGCATCTCCTTTTGGGATTGAGGTGAAACTTCAGCGCCACATATGAGTGTCAATCATCCGAATCTGATAAACTGCCTTAGCGCATGGATCAGACCCTCTCGCTTTTTTTCAAATGGGAATGTTTCCTGGGAACCCGATTTCGAATTTCCTTCCACAAAATATTCGCAGTACTGCTTCGATTTTTGCTGAGCAAAAAAGTGTTGCGCTCATAAATTGGGGTGCCCTTAATGATTAAGCCCATGATGGAGATCCTGGAGACTCTAAAGAGTGGGCATTTCCGGAATTCGTTCCTTCATGGAGCCTCGTTTTTAGCATAGAATGTGGGAAAACTGTGTAACTACCTAACATGACGTCATTACTATTAGTAGTACTGAGCATTGGACCGTAGCTACGGGAGGACTCTCGTCGGGTGAGCCCGTGAAATCGTTGGGAATGGTACTCTTTATTGATTTGACCGAAATGTATTTGGGTGCAAGCGGTGTTCTTCAAAGGAACAGAGGCTCCTGCTTCATTCCACATTCTTTCTTCCCACTTTCACCCCGTCGAACATTATGTTTAATTACCCTAGAAGAAAAATCTGCGTCGTTCAATTCTGGCTTCAAAAAGCGCTTTTGTGAAGTCATGGTGGGGGTACTTCTCCCCGATATCCCATGGCAGTCGCTGCGGCCACCGTATTCTTCAACTGAAAATTCAAACTATTCCTTTTATAGTGCGCGCGACTGCGCGNCGCGACTTTCGAGGAGAAGTATCCACACCCATCCAAAGCCAAGAATATGTATAATAGAACCCTATCAAATAATGGGCATATGAATGTGCTAAGAGATGCCGTGTAACGACGAAGGATTGTGTCTAACAGTTCAATTTTATGGCTCTGTTTTACCATGAATGTTTCCTTTTAATGTTATGGATAACTAAAAATAACACTTGTAGTCAGAACAGGTGATATGACTGAACTTCTGGGATATCCGTCATGTAAACGACCATTTTCTCACGTTGATCCTTATCGTCCCCTGGAGTCACCCACAAATTTGGTCCCCAATCTCCAAACTTTCACATGGTTCTTGATGTTTTCACGATCGCCAACTAAGCAATTGGACAAAACTCAACCCCAGAGTGTTCCAGAAGCAGTGCTGAATACTACGGTGAATAGCTCAGAGGCCAGCGATGAGCACCTCATCTGAGGGGGACTAATAGAGGGCGTTGAGTCACGAGACCGCGTCCGCTCGCGCTGCCTGTAGGTTTCTCGGGTTTGGCTTACACGAGAATGCCACTGCCAGAACCACATGAAGTGGGTAACCATAAAAAAGCGAATGGTCTCAATTCTGAGGCAAATTCAGGTAGTGCAACATTTAATATCCTCTGTGTGCTGGCCTGTTGTACGCTATTCTCGAAATCGGTCCTACAACTCACGTGGTGGCCGCTGTTTAGGTGAGTATCTTGATAAATCTCATCGGTTTACCGGCACGACTCAATCTATTTCAGAGATGTGTCTATTTACATCCTAGCATTGTTAATGTTGGTGCTGTTCTTTATGGACGAGAAGGTGAGTGACCGTTTCGACAAGTTTGCTGGCAGTTCAGCCCTTGTGTTGTTCTGGTTTCTCCTTTTCTCGCCACCCCCTTACCTACGAGTGGAAGTGCTATTTGGCCTTTCTGCTAGATATTTTGCCTTGCTCAAAAAATGAGGCAACTGTCAACCCCAAGAAATCCGCTACTGTCAGTGGCTCCGCTCGCTCCCTTCCAGTTGAAACCCCTCTGAAATTAGGAATAACTTGGGATGACTAGATCTATCTCTATTTATAAGCTCTAAGGCGAGCTGCAATCCACCCTAATGAAGGCCAAAAGTTTCGAAATCATGATGACGCTGTCATCGGAGATAGGACCATGTTTGCTTCCACAGCGTACCGTACACTGCAATCACTCGACACCTTTGAAAGATTCTCCGGCACTCAGAGAATGCGGTGAGAGCGACATGCCGCTCGTTTTGTTTGATTCATACCGTCCCCATCCCGTTACCGGGGTTGGACGAGAGTACTACGAGGAAATGGCGTGAAACTGGTGTTTGGACGAGTTGTATGCAATGTGTGTCATTGCGTGCAGGTGGCTACAGTAAGCAAAAATGTCTTCAACGCATCCCTTCACCCTAGGCAATCAGCTGATTGCATAGATGGGTCTCGGTGCGAATAGCGCAACCTGTATGGCCTCGGCAACTCGTCTGAGACCTCGTCCGTCTTTGGGTGTGGACGTCGATCAAGCCGGTTTGGGGGCCTTTCACGCCCTATACGGTCCTTTTTCGGCCCGGCAGTGTTTTTTGTCCTGCTAGGGCCACTAAGGGGGATGAGGAGAACTTAGAAACCATTTTTTTCGGAAACTGTGCCTTCAAGGAGACCAAAAGAGGAGCAAACGGTCAGGAGTATTTGTGTTTCATAGAACATATGATTCATGGCTTAAAGTGGCTTCTACCCTCGTCCAGAATGTGTCCTTTCAGATCACCTGGCCAGAGGCATTGTTATTGTTCCTCGTCTACCTGTTATACTGCACATTGATGAAATTCAATGTACGCCTCGAAGAGTGGGTGAAAGTGACGCTGCTCGGAGAAAAACTTGATGGAGACGAACCCGAGCAGGCCACCCTCAACGAACCCATCACTGCCCTCAACGGCAATAACGTGAGTGTGTTTCTATTATTATTGTTATTATTATTATTGTCATTGTCATTATTATTATTAGTACTATTACTAATGATATTATTATTATTACTACTATTATTTATTGCCTGCAAAGCGCGTACTGAAATAACAAAAGTCCCTAGAACAACCAAATAAACAAACAAATAAAACAGCTTCAGATAAATGAAAAGGAATAAAAAATACCAATAAAAATGTGAGTAGAAGAGCACATGAAAGAAACGAACCCTACTATCTTTTAATTATCATAATGTTAAAAAACGCGACTGATTGGCTGCTTTCATAGTCCGCCGGCCGGCCGGCGTGCCACGAGGCAGTGCTTAGGGGGAGGAGGGCGGCAGACGGCCAGTCGAAGGGCTGAAA